TTTATATATTATAGTGCCACAACAATTTTCAACCAATCTGTTCTCGACAATATATTAGCGTTTCCTTTTATTTCGTGAAATTGAACACGCAATATAATAGTTAGTTACCCATAAAAAATTCATTTCAACTGAAAAAAGTTTAATTCAACGACCAGAAGAAGACTATCTGCGCTCGCTGGCGAGACGACTTTCACACCGCCACCATTTGTCATCATTTCTCTAAACCAAAAAAGGATATCGACCGAGTGTACTGCTTTGAGAACAAAATCTATTATTTAAGAGGCTCTTGTATTACCCGACACAGGTTTGAAGTTACCAGCAATAACTTCAACGCCCTTCTTGGATAAAAACGACGATTTGTTCACAGTGTAAATTAGCATTTAAATATCACGATGAGTAAACTGAAGCGTACACCAAGCCTAGGAACGATGCCTAATTACGGCAGTCACAGTAGTATTTCAACAATAGACTCACCTAGTCCGACAGGTGTCAGCACTCTGAACCGACCGGCTCAAGCATCACAGTCGTTATATCCTTTATGCCGGAATCTTTTAGACCGACTCCGTTGCGTGAAAGAATTTGAGCAATATTTGATTCAAGGGCAAAACGCTATGAAGAATGAGAATGGTTCAAAAGCAGGTACCCCGACCTCCGAAAGTGGATCGAGCAACGACATCGCTTATAAGGACCCCGTAAATCTTTTGTGGACGACCTTTCGGTTGGGTTATCCCCTGTGTGCACTCTTTAATGCTCTTCAACCACTAAATCCATTAACAGTCGAGGAAGAGAGACCAGGCACCAGTAACAAAAAGCCTAAAGCTAGTGTGTATAATTTCCTCGTTGCATGCAGCAAACAACTAAACCTAGATCCGGAACAAACTTTCACAATCTCACAGTTGTATCAGGATGACACGAATGGCTTTGTGAAGGTATATTTACATTTGGGATTGGTTTAAAAAGGTTGGTGATTTAATAATATTTTTTGATGCTTTTAGGTCATCAATACGGTGAAACTGGTCACCGATAAGATTGAGGAGAAAGGTCTCCTGGATTTATCTAAAAAACAACTTTCACGTAATTCCGACCCCATGAAACCTACGGATAATAGAGCAAGGGTTGTTCAAGAATTGCTGGAGACCGAACGAAAATATGTACAGGATATGGAAGTTTTACAGGTATTCCAAAGAAGGCTCATTCTCCATGAATTTAAAAGTTCGATTATTAAAACATTCATGTGTTATTCTCGTTTCTCTAAGAACTATGCGCGAGAACTCAAGAATCAAGATGTCGTCAGCGCGGACACAATTCACTTGCTATTCGCCAATCTCAACCAGCTTGTCGATTTCCAGCGTCGCTTCCTTATCGGTGTAGAAGCCATGTCCAGCGAATCACCCGCGGAACAGCGGTTTGGACAGCTATTTATACAAATGGTAAGAGATCCTATTGGAGTGAATTCGTTTGAGAAGTTATTTTGATCAAATTTGATTATCCACAGGAGGAGAATTTTGCGGTCTATGAGCCCTTTTGTGCTAACTACCAGTCTGCGTCCGAATTGGTTATCCGAGAGACTCCAAATCTACAAGTATTCGT